TTGATGATTGCAACAATTCTTTACCAAGAAATACGTTTATGACAAAATTTTGGAAAATGGGCGTAGCACCGCCCACTTGTGATCACATATATGTATCTCGCTAACCGTTCTAGCAATTTGTACCAAGCTCGGTATGGTTATTGTGCTTGCCACATAAAAGCAAACCGTTGAAAATCGTTGAAATTGGACTAAAATTGAGGCCGCTTTTCATATAACGGTAAATTTCAGATATGCTTGAAACTGCAATATTTCGAAATTTAAGGACGCTAATTTACTTAAAATGTATACACCCCGGCTTATCATGTAGCGGTAGCTTTCGGAAAGGTGGAAAACATATATTTAATACTTGCGCCGGGTATTTAATGTTCGGCTCCGCCCGAACTTAGACTTTCTTACTTGTTTTATTTAACAGCGCGACAAAAAGTAAACTACGCCACTAAACTTTTTTCGCATACTACTGCTTCGGCTCTAAAACGGTGCGCCCAACTTGGTTTAGCCAGGAGTTGCGAAAGCAAAGCATATGGCCTATCACTTTTGCAGCGAAATTCTGTGCTAGAGGAAATGAGCCATATAGTGCAAAATTTGTTCCCTCCCCGTGGAAAACTTATACGTTTTCAAAGGGCAATCCTGCAAGTAAATAACGCATTACCAATTTTGCATAACTACCTCAAGAAAATTATTGCATGACTTATATTCTAACAAGCAAGTTAAATCAGGACTGCGTTGAAAATTTTTTAGCGCGATACGGGCAAAAGGAGGGCTACATGATCACCCTTTACCACTAGAATTTAAATGTAGATTAAGATCATACCTACTAGGTAACTTTTTCCTGAACTCCTTTAAAAGTTGTTGTTGATATCAATTATTAATTCCAAACTACGTCTATGCTTGGTCTGTTCTAGAACGAAACGAAAATATTTTATGTGAGCAAGCAAATGTTGAGGGCCTCAAGCGACGATCTAATCCAGCTTGATGAGAAACTGTCGAGGTAAAATATTTGCATTGCAGCTGTTAAATTTTTTTATTTTTTTTTAACTTTTTAAAAAGCTTTCAGAGGAACATGAGGTCGAAGAATTCATAAGGCCACTCGGAGATGTGGAATTCGATGGGCTTGAAAATTTTGCAGGATACATAATAATTAAGATGGGGTTGTCGGAATTTGGCCATAGAACATATGAAAACCAAGATCTAAATTATACATACGAAAACTGTTTATCAGAGGGGGGACTTTATAAACCAAATTCCAGTTTTTTTTTTTTTTTTAATATTTTGGAAGATTTAAACACAGTTTTTATCAAACTGAGCCAAATATTTTGCAAAAAGTTATGAGTAATTTGAATGTTAATTTGGATCGAAAGGTTATAAAGCGATTTTTTTTTGTGGAGAACATTTTTCACAATTAGTTTTTTAAATCGTAAAATTAAGGAAAACAAAATTATATACGAAAATAAGAAATTGAAAAAAATGACAACTTAACGTGCTATTAAGTATCTATTAATAAAACATCTGATAATTTTAAAGAACCTTTTATCTTTTAATTTAATTGTAAGCAGCGTACCTAAAGTATTTTTTTTTTATTAAGAATACAATACTGTAGGATCAGTACCACTTCTGAATTTTTAAAATGGATAAAAATGTATGCCACCATCAGCAAAAAAAAAAATATTAAAAATCAACTGCAATCTTAGAATCTTTCTAAAAATTCTGAATTTAAAGATTGTGCTGCGTATTCACAATATGTAAAATTAAGCGTTTTGTGAATATTTCTCACGGCCATAATTTTAAATTTTTAGTGCTTTTAATGTTCCATTTAGTAATTTTTTAATATATAATGTACTACGTGATTTTTTGTTATATATGTATATATTGGCATTTTATGCTAAATTTCTATATTTTATGATTGTGCCAAAAGTGCCGCTGAGAATGAATGTGCCAAAAATGGCACTATTGTGCCTACTTTTCCATCACTGCTATTATCAGCCATAAAAAGCGGCATAGTACAGCTGTAGCCAAACTATTTTCGCATGTGTTTCACATGTACTACATACATTCCTTTCTCGTGGTGTGTGCTTTAGGGTTAATATTAATAGCAATCATAAGCAATCAAATTTGATTGCATGCTTTTAGGCTCGTTTTAACTTCTCAGCATTATTTAACTTGTAATCATTAATATCTTGTAATAACATACTAGTATTAAAACATGTGCATATATATGTGCTTTGAAATCTCACTTTAACCCTAAAAGTGTCAATTAATTTTGTCCGAATTATCTTCATCAATATTTCACCCTTAATTAAATCGACTTGATTGCAGCTTGGCAGAAAATTGCGAAAATAATAGGATAAAGCTAGCGGAAAATACACTGTAGCATTTATACATAAATCAAATCATAGTTAGATGCATTTGTATGTTTAAACATACATGTATGTATGTATGCAGGTATAAAATCATTTATATAGGTACAATTTACCGCCCCGCTTTTAAAGTGGCAAATAATTAGACAAGTGCAACCCACAATTATTGTTACTTCTTTTCGCTTTTAATTCTCTATTAACGGTGACTCGATGAAGTGAGGGTAGCTATTTGATTTGCCGGTTTTCGCATTTCGATTTCGATTAGGGGGTGAACGGTTGCTGTTACATACCCTTAATTTTGACTAACTAGATTACTTTGTGACTTGTGCATGACACAAGTTCTACTTAATTTTGTAGGCGTGGCTGGTTGTTGAAAGAATTCGTAATTTTTAAAATATTGCTAGATATACATATGTATGTATATACATTGGGGTGCGTTTTATTCGGCGACTATTTATTTATTTTATTTTTTTTTGTGACTCCCTTTGACCCGTACTACCTCGCTGGTGGGAGTCAGAGTTACGCCGCAATGGACACTTTTGTAGAGCATTCAATTTTGAAGAAAAACCACCATTGACCATGATTACTTAATTGTCGCCACTTTGAATTGAAACTCTGGAATCACCCAGTAATTTTTTGGAAGCATGAAAAACCAGGAATGACCCAAAAGAAATGTTTCTCTGAAACCGAGTAAAAGAGCCAATTATTTTAACTTGCAGACACCAATGAACGGATTTTGCAGCGAAATCGCGATAAAGATATGTATTTAAACGACAAACGGAATAGGTTGTTGTAGGTTAGAAAAAAAAGTTGTTAGAGCTGAGTTCCACACACTCGGGTTTGATCAGGACGAGCACCCTAAAAAGTTAAACATTCTAAAAATATAATTATTATACAAAAACCAACAAAAACAACAACCGCATGATCGAGTGTAAATTGCAGCGGAATAGCTGCACTTGATTGTAGTTGGTTTAGCACATGAGAAAACGTAGCGAACTTAGCTTAGTGGGTAGTCTATTGGCTTTGGGCGCTGGTGTCGTTGGATCGAGTCCCAGTGAAAGAAGTCTGATAGGAAAATGTGGTGATCTCCGAAATGGCAGCTATAACTTCTACCAAAATTTAAATTGCTGTCTTTTTTCCAAAAATAATCTTTATTAAAAGCGGTCTCAAGCTCAATAAAATTGTTTAATATAATTGTTATAAGGCCATAAAATAACAAAAGCAAAAAATTTTGCTAAAGAAAAAAAAGCTCCCTAAAAATAAATTTAATTTGAATTAAATATACATATATATTTTTTTAACAATAAAATCTAAAAATGAAGAGAATTAAAAAAAATAAATAAAATAGGTGCCTAAAAATTAAATTAAATAAAAAAACTGTCTTAAATATAATCTCAAAATTAAATAAAAAGTAAAAAAATGCACGAAGAAAAGCTAAAATAAGTTCGTATATATTAAATAAAGTTAAAAAGATAGTATTCTTTTTCAATAAATAACATTTTTCATATAAAACGGCCTCAAGCTTAATAAAATTGTTGAATTTTAAGAGAATAAAATCTACGAATGAATAGAAAATTTGCCAAAATAACGAAAACAAAATTTACTTAGAAGTGGAAATATAAATTTCTAAAAATTAAATGAAATTATATAAAAAAATTCTTTTTTTTAAAACAATAAAATGATTTAATTAAGAAAAGAAAAATAAGATAAAAATAAGTAAATAAAATAAGTTACTAAAAAATTAATGAAACTATAATAAATGCATACATATACATATATATATATATTTTTTTTTTAATAATAAGGTCTAAAAATTAACCAAAAATTAAATTAACAAAAAAAGAAAATTTGATAAAAAAACGATAAAAAATCAATTGAAGAATTCTCTCTCCACTGCACTCAAAAAAGTCACTACGAAAATACGTAAAAATGATGAAGATAAAAAAGCCAATCTGGCAACCCTATCTGGTCCCATTTGAAAATGCCTACAAAAATCGAGGTTTTTATAAATAACATTAGTTTTTAAAATTACTTTTTCTAAAAAAAATCACCTCAGATGATAGAAGTGTTAAAGCTTAAAAGGTCTGCAAAAAAATGTTTAAAAATTTTATCAATGCAGTCGAAATAATGAGATTTTTGGGGTACATATTTTAAAATCAGTCTAGCTCACCTAAATCTTCATATTTTAGCGACACATTTTGGCAGAAGTTTAAATATAAAAAAGGTTAAAATAACACCGGTGGAAAACCAGCAACTATTTTTGGTGTTGCATCCTTATGTATATAAATAAAATAATTGGTAAAACCTTTTCCAGCTGTGTGGCGTGAGTTTAATGCACTTATGTCTGCCTACACAGCTGTTTCATATTTATTAACCAAGTTCAAGGTTTGTATAATTATAGCAAATAAGAATAAAATATTATAAAATGCAATAAAAGTGTAAACATTTTTGTTCAGCGCTTAGGCCGAGCTTCTGCTTTAATTTTTCATGTGTTATTTTTGTTTTGACCAACTGGAATTAAGCCAAGCATCTTTTGTCGATACGCCAAGCACTAGCACACTCGGCTGCTGCGCCCGCCTGCAAAGATATGAGCAAATATTTGTAAAAAAAAAATTATTGTTCATACCACCTTCTTTACAGCTACTCAGCGCGATCCTCATTCAAACGAAAATTCCAAGAAAATATTCATCAATCGTAAGGGATACGAATATGGAGACAGATGAGCAGTCAAAATATCGTAAAATTTTACATATTTTGTTTTTCGTTCTAATTACTTGGGCACTTGTTATAACTTGTGAGCGTGAGTGAAAATATATAAATGCAGTTTAAAATTTTTTAATAATTTAGTTCTTGTTTCCAAGTAGTTTCTGCACGCTATTTGAAGCCGACTTTCCGAACGGAACTAGCATATCCAGTAGAACCGATACTCGAGGAACCGGTAGTCGAGAAGCCGCCGCGCAATGATTCAATTTTCTATAGTCCAATGGTGGAGTTTAAAAATCGAATAAAAGAACTCGAATTAGAGGCCAGTGAGAAGAAGAAGCGACGGAGGTATCGCGCGGGCCCATCGATCCTTTATGAAGTTTCAGGAAAAATAATTTCGTTGGATAAAGAAATTGTCTTCACCTTTAAAATGACCTCCAAAAATATAAGGTTTTCAATTCTTTTCCTTTATTGACCTAAAACCAGTATGCAATGAACTTTTAACAATTTTCAAACACCTATTGTTGCTGTTATTGCGTCAAGGAATCCTTTTCCATGGTCGCAAGAACCAAAAACCGCATTTTAAACTGTTTTTAAAAAGTTAATTTCAAGCTGTTTTTAGGTAAAAAAAAAAAAAAACAAAAAATAAAGATTTTACTTTTGAAGGGCATTTTAAAGATATCTTTGAATGAAAAATTACTTTGACTGCAAACCCGACCTTCAAAATTTAAATTTTTGTGTTTTTTTTTCTCTTTTCGACCTTAAAACAGCATGCAATGAACTTTTAACAAAAAAAAGTTAAAAGGATTGCGTGATGCAACAAGAGCAAAAATATGTACCCACATACATATTTAGAAGTTTTACAAAGTTCACTGCATACTGGTTTTAGGCCACAAAATGAAAAATCTTAAAAACTTCTATTTTTGAGGTTCTTTTTAAAGAGACTATCTTTCATGAATTTCCCATCGCAAAAGCTTTAAAATACCGTTACATTTATTTCGCTATCTCAAAAATAGAACACTGTGCGTGCTTGAAAAATTTTCAAATTATTGGAGTTATTTTCGTATTTTGTTTTACTTTGTATTTGAAATTAGACTTTGCAATAAAGATAAATGTGATGATGAAGAAATAAAATTTAAGATAAAGACGAAAATGAAAACAATGAGAAATACATAAGAATTAGAGTAAACAGAAATTAGAGAAAGGGTAAGAAAATTTATTGAAATTTTTCGAAAGGAATTGAAAAAAAAAAAAATTAAGTTATCGAAAGATATCATGTTACCGAAATTTATCGAATCCTCGTTGTTTATAGTTATCGAAATTTATCGAGTTATCGCAACGTATCGAATGATTCAAATTGAACAATGTTTATTAAGTTATCGAAATTTACGGCTACTTAAGGAGCTATAAAAATTTATGGGATTATCGAAATTTGTCAAGTTAATGAAATTTATAAAGATATCGGGTTTTTATGTATTAAAATTATTTAAAGAGTTACAAAAAATTTATCGAGTTATCGTAATGCGTCGAATTCTTTCTATATATCGAGTTATCGATATTTACTGATTTAATGGAATTTGTCCACTTGTCGAATTGAAGGTTTTGGAATTTTCAAAATATATCCAGTTATCGAAATTTCAAGGTTATATAAGTTTATCGAGTTATCCCTGCTTATTTATCGTGTTAACAGAGTGTAACGATTTGTCGAACTTTGTCGATTGCTTTCGAAAAATATGGAGCTACCAAAATTAACTGACTTACCGAAATTTATAAATGTACATCGATATATATAAATTTTTGAGATATCGATATTTATTTAAAATTATCGAAATTAGTCAAGTTATCGAAATTTGTTGAGTTATCGGATTTTAGTGGTTTTTTAAATCATTGAATTATCGATATGTAAAAAATCGTCGAATTTTATAGACGATGGAATTGCATCGGGTCAATTCCAAGTCCATCCAAAGTCCTCCAAAGACCTCCAAAGATATAAAAAATTGCAGTCACGTTTTAGTTCCTAAGTTAAACGACGTGCTAAGTTAGAAAACCTCTCCAATGACCCTTAAAAAACTAGAAAAACACGGTCGATATTCGACATTAACTGGCATTCCTAGTCTATTTTTATCGCCGTGTGATCTTTATTTTACATTTATACCGCGTTTTTGATGGCGCTCTCCACCGTTTCGCATAACCCGAGTAATGTTTGTTTCCCAATTTTCAATTGTGAGTGGCTTATGCTTGAAGATTTTCTACTACATACACCAAAAATTCGGTCTTTTTATTGAATTATTCAATCATGGACTTAATGGTACATTCTGGTTACTGTACATACATAAAATACTTACTCGTACATGTGTATGCAATTTTGGAGTCCACAAGAAAGTAATGCAATTCTGATTGGCTGTAAATTGAACTAAGAGATGCAATTTTCTTGTCTCATAATTCAGTTAAAGTTTTCTTGAAGTTAAGGTCAGTGAAAACTAATGGGAGTAGTATACGTGGTACACAGTGGTGGAGCTGGAAACAATTTATAGGGGGTGGCACTGACTTTTTGAAGTGAAACTTCTTACACGAGTTCGGAGATGGTTGCGTTAAATATTTAACACCTAGTCATAAAATCTGTGCCGTTCGTTCGATTCTCAAGAATGAGGTGTCACATGAAAGGCCTCGTCCTACCGGTGTGCAACATAGCTTTAGTTCCATGAAAGGAGTTGCCACATGTTAGAAAATCGAATTCAAAATTTCTCTGCCGCAGAGGGTTGCGTTAAATATTTAACATAAGTCATAAAATCTGTATCGTTCGTACGATTTTCAAAAATGGGGTGTCACATGAAAGGGTTTGACTTGCAGATGTGCAGTATGGTTTTAGTCTTTTAAAGGGTTGCCATATATACGAAAATCAAATTCAAATTATTTATTAAGTTAAACGAATTATCCCAATATGGGTATCGAAAGAAATGGTTTTGAATAAGTTGTATTTTCTAGCTAAATGTAGGAGGGTTGCCACCTGTTTCAAAAGTAAAATTTGGTTAAATTATACAAAAGTCTTACGCTTAGAATACTATACAGTACAGAAAGAGCTTACAGAACACAATAAAAATATTTTTGAGGTGCCTGAAGAGGGTGGCCACCTGTTTAAAAAG